TCCCTCCCCCTCCATTTCCTATCTCTAACAACCACACCTATGTTCTCTCCTGAAAGTTCAACACATTATTGTGTTTCTCTTTCCCTTCCTTCCTTCCTTCCTTCTTTCCTTCCTCCAAGCTCATCCATATAGCTGTGAATGGCAGAATTCCATTCCTTTTTATGGCCGAGTAGTATTCCATTTTGTGTATATATACTATATTTTCCTTATCCAGTAGTTTGTTGATGGACATTTAGGTTGTTTCCATATCTTGGCTATTGTAAATAGAGGTGTGATAAACATGGGAGTGCAGGTATCCCTTCCACATGATGATTTCCATTCTTTTGTGTATATACCCAGTAGTGGAATTGCTCGATTGTATGGTATTTCTATCTGTTGTTGTTTGAGAAACCTCCATACTGTTTTCCATAATGGCTATACTAAGTTACAGTCTTACCAAGTGTACAAGTATTCCCCTTTCTCTGCATCCTCTCCAGCATTTCTGATAATGGCTAGTCTAACTGGGGTGAGATGATTTCTCAATGTGGTTTTGATTTGCATTTCCCTGATGATTAGTGATGTCGAGCATTTTTTAATATACCTATTGGCTATTCATATGCCTTCCTTGGAGAAATGTTTATTCAGCTCCTTTGCCCATTTTATTTGGATTTTTTTCCTGTGTTGCTTGTGCTTTAGAGGTCTTATTCATAAAGTCTTTGTCCAGTCCTACATCCTGAAGTGTTTCCCTTATATTTTCTTCTTGGAGTTTTATAGTTTCAGGTCTTATATTTAAGTCTTTAATCCATTTGAATTGATTTTGGTATATGGCAAGAGGTGAGAGTCTAGGTTCATCCTTCTACACATACATATCTGGTTTTCCCTGTTGAAGTGGCTGTCCTTTCCTCAATATATGTTCTTGGTGCTTTGTCAAAGATCAGTTGGCTATAAATACATGGATTGATTTCTGTGTTCTTTATTCTGTTACATTGATCCGTGTGTCTGTTTTTATGCCAGTCCCATCCTATTTTGATTAGTATAGTGATGTAGTAAAATCTGGAGTCAGGTAATGTAATGCTTTATTTATTTATTTACTTTTGCTCAAGATTGTTTTGGCTATTTGGGGTTTTTTATTGAGCCATATGAATGTTAGAATTGTTTTTCCTATTTCTGTGAAGAACATAATTGGTATTTTCAAGGGGATTGCATTGAATCTGTAGGTCACTTTGGTAGTATGGACATTTTCACAACATTAATTCTTCCAATCCATGAACATGGAATCTCTATCCATCTTTTACTGTCCTCTTTAATTTCTTTCAGCAGTGATTTGAGTTCTCATTGTAGAAATCTTTCACCTTCTTGGTAAACTTATTCCTATGTATTTTATTCTTTTGGTAGCTATTGTAAATGTGCTTGCTTTTTTGATTTCTTTTTCTGCCTGCTTGTTGTTGGTGTATAAAAATGATACAATTTTTGTGTATTGATTTTGTATTCTGAAACTTTACTCCATTCACTTATCAGCTTTAGGAGTTTTTTGGTAGAATTTTTAGGTTTTTGTGGGTATAGGATCATATCATCTGTAAACAGGGACAATTTGGCTTTGTCTTTTCCAATTTGGATGCACTTTATTTCTTTCTCTTGCCTGATTTCTCTAGCTAATATCTTGATACTATGTTGAGTAGGAGTGGTGAGAGTGGGCATCCTTGTTTGTTCTTGTTCTTAAGGGAAAAGCCTTCAGTTTTTTCCCATTCAGAATAATACTGGCAGTGGCCTTGTCATAGATGGCTTTTATTGTGTTGAAATACTTTCCTTCTATACCTAATTTGTTGAGAGTCTTTATCTGAAGCCATGTCGAATTTTGTCAAATGCTTTTTCAGCATCTTTTGAGATAATCATATGGTTTTTGTCCTTGAGTTTATTGATGTTGTGTATCACATTTATTGACTTTTGTATGTTGAAACATTCTTGCATCCCTGGGCTGAATCTCACTTGATCATGGTGTATAATTTTTTAGACATGTTGCTGTATTCTGATTGCTAATATTTTATTGAGGATTTTTGCATCTATGTTCATCAAGGATATTGGCCTGTAATTTTCTTTTTTCATTGTCTTTATGTGGTTTGGTATCAGAGTTATGTTGGCCTCATAGAATGAATTTGGGAAAAGGCTTTGTTTTCAATTTTTTGGAATAGTTTGAGGAGAATTGGTATTAATTTCTCTTTAAAGGTTTGGTAGAATTCAGCTGTAAAGCCATCCGGATCTGGGCTTTTCTTTGTTGGAAGATTGCTAATTACCACTTCAATCTCATTGCTTGTTATTGGTCTGTTCAGATTTTCTGTCTCTTCTTGGTTCAGTCTGGGTAGTTTGTATGTGTCCAGAAACCTATCCATATCTTTTGCTTATTTTCATATTTGTTGTCGCACAGTTGTTTATAATGGTCTCTAATGATTCTTCATATTTCTGTGGTTTCAGTTGCAATGTCTCCCTTTTCATTTCTGATTTTTGTTATTTTGGTCTTTTCTCTTCTTTTTTTTTTTTTTTTTTTTTTTTTTTTTGTTAACCTAGCTAATGGTTTGTCTACTTTATCTTCTTGAAAAACCAAATTTTTTTTCATTGATCTTTTCTATCATTTTTCGGGTCTCTATTTTATTTAGTTCTGCTTTGATGTTAATTATTTCTTTCTGTCTATTACCTTTAGGATTGGAGTGTTGTTTTTCAAATTATTTGGGGCATAGTATTAGGTTGTTTATTTGAAGTCTTTCCATTCTTTTGATATAAGCATTTATTGTGATAAATTTGCTTCTTAGTACTGCTTTTGCAGTACCCCACAGGTTTTGGTATGATGTATCTTTATTTTCATCAGTTTCAAGAAATTTTTTGATTTCCTGTTTAATTTTTTCTTAAATCCATAGGTTATTCAAGAGCCTATTGTTTAGTTTCCATGCATTTGTATAGTTTTAAGGGTTTTGCTTGTTATTGATTTCCAGTTTTAGCCCATTGCAGTCTGAAAAGATACTTGGAATGATTTCAGGTTTTTAAAGTTTGCTGAGACTAGATTTGTTACCGAGTTTGTGGTCTATCCTGGAGAATTTTCCTTGTGCTGATGAGAAGAAAGTATATTCTTTAGCTGTTGGCTGAAATGTTCTGTATATATCTGCCAGGTCCAGTTGGTCTAAGGTGTAGATTAAATCCTGTGTCTCTTCGATGATTTGTTGCCTGGAAAATCTGTCTCATACTGGGAGAGGGGTGTTCAGGTCACCCACTATTAACGTATTAGGACCTATTTTTTTCTTTAGGTCTAAGAGTGTTTGCTTTGTATATCTGGATGCTCCAGTTTTGGGTACATACATATTTTTGATTGTTATGTCTTCTAGCTTGGTAGATCCTTTTATCATTATATAGTGGCTTTCTTTGTCTCTTTTTATGTTTTTTGGTTTAAAGTCTATTTTATCCAATATAAGAATAGCTATTCCTTCTTATTTTTGGTTTCCATTTGCATGGTATGTTTTCTTTTATCCCTTCACTTTTAGTCTGTGTGTGTCTCTATAGGTGAGACGGGTCTTTTGAGGACAGCATATACTTGGGTCTAGTTTTTTAATCCAATCAGTCAATCTGTGTCTTTTGAGTGGGGAGTTCAATCCATTCACATTTAGGGTAGTTATTGACAGGTATTGTTTAACTCCTGTCATTTAATTGCTTTTTGTTTAGATGTTTTAATTATCTTTTGATCATTACTTCTCCTTTTATTTCTCTTCTTCAATGTTAGTTGGAAATTTGAGATGACATGATTTGGCTTCTTACTCTTTCTCACTGGCATTTTTGTTTTAGTTGCAGGTTTTGCTCTTTCTTGTGTATCTGTGACAGTGATCCTCATTATTCAGATTCCCAATGCAGGACTCCCTTGAGAATCTCTTGCTGGGCTGGTTGTTTGTTGGTGAACTCCCACAATTTTTGTTTGTCTCAGAAATAAACTATTTCTCCCTCATTTCTGAAGGAGAGCTTTGCTGGGTAAAGAATTCCTGGCTGGCAATTTTTTTCTTTTAGTGTTTTCAGTATATCATTCCACTTTCTTCTGGCCTGTAGGGTTTCAGTTGAAAAGTCTGCGGTTAGTTTGATGAGGGTTCCGTTATAGATGACTTGACGTTTTTCTCTTGCTGCTTTTAGAATTCTCTCTTTGTCTTTCAGCTTTGCAAATTTGACTATAATGTGTCTTGGAAAGGATCTTTTTGGATTGAATCTGTGTCTCTCCCTACACCTGGGAAGTTTTCTGTTATTACTTTGAATAGGTTTTCAATACGTTTTCCTTTCTCCTCTCCTTTAGAGTGCTTGAGGTTGTCTGCTATCTGTCTTAGATTTTCTTCATTATTTTTAATTCTTTTTTTCCTTTTTTTTTTTTGTCTGCCTGGGTTATTTCAAAAAAATCATCTTCAAGATCTGAAATTCTTTCTTCTGCTTGCTCTAGTCTGCTCAAACTCTCTGTTGTGT